TGTCACACAGTGGTTCCAATCCCAGGCGGCAGACTTCTACGACACAGGTATTCAAAAGTTGGTCCCACGGTATGACAAATGTCTCAATTCCGGTGGCGAATATGTTGAAAAATAGCTGGACACTTGCTGTATCTGTTGCAATAAATATTGCCATGAAATTGTGTTTTGTTTCTGTAAACGGCCCCAGGGAAACTTACTTTGTGGACGAGCCTCGTACATTAACTTTCAAAGAAAGAAATTAAAGAAGTCATGGTTTTCCAGTTGCTCCTAGATTATTTGAAATACATACTCTTTTAGAACTTTGTGACTGCAATCCACGTGAATTAGTTTTATCTGAAGCAACTGGGGTTTGGTACAGAGTGGTTGCAGATCTCGTAGGATGCACAGGAGTGCAAGTGGTGGCAGAATTGTCCTTTGACAAGATTTGCTTCACTTTCCTCAGCTTCCTTTCTTGATCTCTCATTTGAGTCTGTAATTGGAATATTATATAAGAAAATCATTATGGTCTTCATTAGCCAATGGGCATCCTACTGTGAGCTTTTTACATCCACGCAATGTTCCATCCTGACACATTTCAATGCAATGTTCTTACATTTAAAATTAAAATGTATGGTATGACTGTCATGTGTCAAGATCAGTCTAACTACATCAATGACTGACAATGAAGAAAAATCATTAGAGCATGCTGTGTCCAATGGATGTGTTCCATCCATAACATTGAAATGGTTAATTTATATAGAAAACAGAATACAGAGCATTCAAGAAAGCCAGTTTGTTGATATCTACTAGTCATTGCCTCAAAAATACACTGCGTGAATGAAATACTCTTTCTTTTCCACGGCGCAACAGCCCGAACTGAGCCTGGTCCTCCTCCCATGTGGGAGGTTTCTTTGTCTTTGAAATGTGCATATATGAGTAGTGAGTGAGAAGCCCACTTCTCTGCACAATTTCTACTCAATCCTGATTTGTCTGCTAGAGCCATCTAGTAGTGAGAAATGGCCGCTGAATTTTACTTGCGAAACATCTCGTTCATGCTCGTAAGGTTCTTTTACATGCCGTAAATCTACGACACGGGACCGCCGGCTTTACTTCCCCTCTGAAGGAAGTTATGCTGCTGATTTTTATCACCCTTAAAAATCCATCGACCTTGGCCGGGTTTGAACCTGGAAACCTTGGGTCCAAACCTCTAGCCTACAGAGGGTAACAACGAAATACTCTACTAGCCACATTTTGCTTGAAAAATTGTTTCATCTACTTGGAATATAATGAAATACCCTAAAAACAACAACTTAGAATACAGCCAGTACAAAATAAAATAGATGAACACAGACAATGTTGGACAAAGTATCTGAATATAATGGTAGATAGCAGGATGCTCAAATTCCACAGCATAAGCCAAAGGATCCCATGACCCGAGGCTAACCTTGGAAAAGACGAAACGAGTGGACGGGCTTGAGTGCCTGTACCATGAAGTGAAGAAATCATAGTTTAGATAATTAAATAAATACACCAGCCTCACCTTAAACTCAATTTCTTGTTCTTTCAATCTTTTCTGTGTGTCAAATGTATTTCTCTCTTTTTCCACAGCTATCTTGTCACTGTATTTTTGTCTCAACTTTTCTTTCTCTACCATTTGCTGATGTAACAGCATCTCTTTCTCCTCAAGCTGAAAAAAACCAGGAACACACAAACATATATATAACTTCCCAATTTGCTTATTACAGCCATCAACACATGCATACCAGCCAAATTAAAGAAAGTGGTAAACTTCATTATCTAGACCCTTTTATTTTCTCATACTTCTGTTACTCATGAAATTGACTTTCTTTGTTTCAACAGGATCTATTTTTCTGATATCAACAAACACTTAAGAGATATATGCATTGCTTTTGCAAGATCTGTTCTATCAACAGTTTTCTGCCTTGTATACAGGTAATAGGCCGTCACAGTGGCCGCTTGGTCACTGAGAACGTGGGTTCGAATCCCACTCAAGGCATGGATGTTTGTCTGCGTCTTTCTGTGTTGTGTACAGGTAGAGGCCTTGTGACGGGCCGATCACTCATCCAAAGAGTCCTGCCAACTGTCTATAGATCAAAACCAACGAAAAGTTGGGACCCGCAGATGCTCAAGGCACTGAAGAATGGGTTGTCTAAGTATCCTAAGTAAGTATACAGGTAATTCAAATGAAGATATTAATATAAGGTGTATGCTTTACTGTAGAAGTACCTCACATTATTTTTGAATGTAATAATCAATAAATCACCGATAGAAACATCTAATTTTGAGCTCTTTCTGAGGGTCAAAGCAGAACATAATTGCTTGATATTAAGTCTGGTCACTAAGGTAAAGTCTTGTCTGATAACTCCTACTGTTGCTTGTGGACACAAATGCACACTCCATTCAGACACCCTTGGACAGCAATCTGCAACATTTCATTTGATTCCTGCCCTCAGACTGTCTGACAGAATCTTGAAATATGTTTTGGTATTTGGCATGAATGTCCAGTGCAGTAAATGTGTCACTAGCACTGTTCATGTCCCTGAAAACATGGCTATCATTCATCACAATTGGTCTAAGAAATTTGTATCCCTCTTTTTTAAAGTGGGCAAGAAAGGTCCTGCATATGTCAAGAAACCTGGTTCATTTCAGTTGTCAATTATACGTACGAACACTTTGCTGAGCTCCAGTTCCTTACTGCAGACTGAACCAATACTTATCATATTTACACGTGTATAACACAGTTTTTCAAAATCATTCATTCTTGAAATTAGGGTTTGTGTAATACATTAAACATGTATTTAAAGGAGAGAAGGACATTTTTTTGTGTTCTGTAGAATGTTATCATCAGATATAATTCCATTTCATTGGGAATGCCAGTAACTTTGGAACTTTTCTCCAGTTACTGGATAAAATGAACAAAATGCTGCAAGGATCCATTTAAGTTCTGTCAACGACTGTGTGTGCTTGATTCTAGTGCTAGGGCTCATTTCACGTTTTTTGTTTGTCATCCACTGAGAAGCAGTGATAAATAACTGATTAAGGAAAACATCAAAAGTTTGTAAAACCTTGGCCCTCCCACCAAGGATTACAATAAGATTATAATCCTCATTAACTTTTGCTTGTCTTCCATGAAAGCTGTATAAAATAAACATGACACGCTAGCATAACAAAACGACCCAGCCGCCTTTCCGACACCACATTCAACCAACAGAGGATGAGCTTTCAGTCATCCACCCTCCTTGGACTCATTTTCAGTCGCTTTTAAGGAAAATCTGCCAACAATTACACTATGATCTGGCTGATTTAAATATAAATTCATCCAGGCCAGATTCATTACAAAATACCACCTGAAATAATGAATGCTAATCTTCAGACATCTCATACTACATCATCTATTTTTTTAATTTATTTTTACTACCTATATTTTATATATTTTGAAGAGTATTTTTCACGAGTACTTGATTTTTTCATTTTCCAATCTGAAAATAAGGGTGTGTGTTCTTCATGAGTAAATACGGTACTTGCAATGACACAGTGAACTTATCCAAAGTTGAAGATTTCCGTCTTCTGGGTTGTTGCGCTGTGTAGTCTGGTCGATGTTAACCAACGTTTCAGAGGTCATACTGCCTCCATCATCAGGGCAAACGTTGGTTAACATCGACCAGACTACACAGCGCAACAACCCAAAAGACGGAAATCTTCATACTCACCGCTGTGAGAACCTCAAGTCTTATCCAAGGTTATTCAGCAATTTTACCAAATCTTTCGTTCTGTTTCCACAGTATTTTCCGGAGTGATGACATGGTATGCTTGTTCTGGTTACAGAGCACCATCTTCAAACCTAAGTACTGACTTATGTACGTTAACTTCAGACAAGTATATAACTGCATATGAAGTAACTTGCTGGCTTGTCACCTTGAGCTTCTAATAATTGAATAATGCCATACATCTCTCAAAGTTAGTACAAGATTGCAGATAAACCACCATTTTCAAACTGCAACATCTTGTTTATCTGTGCTCACATTTGTCCCAGTCATAATGCATGTACGTGTATTGTAGTGAGATAGAGAAATAACTATTGGCTTGAAAATATTACAGTAAAACAATTGTTTTTACTTGAATTAATTTTGTGTAAAGAGATGTTATATTCAGTCAACCTGTAGATTTCAACAGATGTACTCACGGCTCAGTCAGTAAGTGACTGAGCTGCTGGAGTTGGAGGCCCTTGCAGAAGCATCTCATTTAATTGGGCTAAAGTGGCACAGTATAAGACACCACCAGTGCCATAGCACAAAATGCATGGAATTGCCCTGTCCTGGTATTGAGCACAGGGCACTTATACTTACTTCTTGCTTCAAAGCAATAAGATTTGCTTCATTTTGTTGAAGCTGATGCTGAAGGCTCATCATAGTCGATTCTGAACTCATTAGTTTGGCCTCTAGAGCACTTGTCTACAAAGCAGAGAAACAAAATTATGACAGCCTTGTGTCTTAAATCCATATATCAGTCTTCAGAATAATTAACAGTATATTAAAACTGAAAATGTGCAACTATTGAAATGAGAAGGAAAGGTTAAAAACTAAAAACATACTACTTTAGAAACTATTGATTTTAGTTGTTTTTAAAGCGCCCCGCTACATGCCTATTTTAGTTGTTTACGGAAGCTTTTACGAGACAGTTGAAACTGCGATGTGAAACAGTTTCTCACCCTAAGAGAGGAACAGAGATTCGGTGTTTGAGACCAGGAGGGATCAAGTGACCAGGGGATGGAGAAAATTACAGATTGAGGAGCTTCATAGTTATATCCTCCAACTTTTACTGTTAAGGCCATCAAATGAAAGAAGATGAGATGGACCAGACATTGAAGACTTGAGAAAAGCATCCACAATTTTGGTTGGAGAATCTTAAGTGAAGACATAACTTGGGAGACTGGGATGCAAACAGAAAATTAATATCAAAACATCTTACATAAATAGAACATAAAGGGTTGGACTGATGTGGCCCAGAATAGTTTTGTGCCAACACAGTAATAATGAAATGAAATTTACGAGGTGTGATCGAAAGGTTTCCAGACTGCGCGTATAAAACCCGTACACTTATCTCAGGTATTAAATTCATCCATCACCCTCGAAGTAGTTCCCCTGGGAGTGAACACAACGATCCCAGCGCCGCTGCCAAGCCTGGAAGCATCCCTGGAAATCTTTCTTTGTCAGCCTGTCAAGCACCATCTGCGATTCTGTCTGAATCTCTTCTATCGTCTCAAATCTCCTTCCCTTTAGCTGAATTTTCATCTTTGGGAAGAGGAAGAAGTCACACGGAGCTAAATCCGGCGAATAAGGAGGGTGCGGGATGACGGCCAAAAACTGCCGAACTTTGAGGGCGGTGTGCGCTGGCGCGTTGTCTTGATGCGTCGCATGTGGAGTTCTTCCTTTAGAATCAGCTGACAGGTCCCATAGTCTATCCCAACAATGTCGCACAAGTCGTTGATGGTACGACGTCGATCTTCGTGAATGGCCTGCCGAATCTTGGTAACATTTTCGGGCGTTGTGCTCGAAGATGGTCGTCCAGAACGCTCGTCATCATCGACAGGGGTTCGGCCCTTTTTAAAACGTGAATGCCACACAAAAGTTTGCGGACTCCCCAAATGTTTGCTTTAGCATTTCATAGGTTTCCGTAGCCGTTTTGGCGAGTCTTTGGCAAAATTTGATGCACACGCCATTCCGAAATCGCAGGAGGGTCGGTGTAATGCACTACCAAAACTCCCGTAACTAAGAAACAAATGGTAATTCGATGATGCCGGCTGGCACACTGATTCACTATGAATGTAGGCCGCACCCCCCTAGCGGCAGAAGCTCGTACTACATCCGGTTCGCCCTCTATTGACAGTCTGGAAACTTTCCGATCGCACCTCGTATTAGAGTAGTTTTACTCTTCAGGGATGGTCCTTGGAAAGTTTAATTCTATTTTGTTGAGCAAAAAAAGTGTTGTGGGAGATGACTGAGTTCCTTGGGTTTACTCTGTTTTGTTGAGGGTTGATTTAGGTTTGGTGATTTTATGTTTGTTCCCTTACTTGATCATTTGAGTCGCTATGAAGTCTGTAATGAAGTTTAGATTTCTTACCTTCTTCCTCTCTTGTTCAAGAGCAGCTTGCTTGCTCATGCTATCCTGTCTAGCCATGATGTTCTCTCTCTCCACAGCTATTAACTTATTACGAAAATCTTGATCTGCAACCAGTACAATAATTTCATATGCTATCAAGTTACCACGCACACAAAATACAGCGAAACCTTCATGACAAAGATTTCAAAAATTCAACATTTTGAACCTTTGAGAGATAATTACTATATTGCAACTCATCACATGGAAGTTTACAGTGATCATGTCTTCCAAAATCACTGTTTGCAGTTTGGTAAATGGTCCTTCCTCCACTACCCAGTTTTAAAATTTGTCCATTTATAGGGCTTCCTAAGTACAGCAAATATCTATATGCAAAACATGTAACAAAGTTCAAAATTTTTCATCCATTGAATTGTGTCTTATGGAGACATTTGTATGTATAAGTGCTCTGTCCACATTGCATTGGACTACACACTTGAGATTTGTTGAACATGTACTGATAGGCCATTTCCTTTAAGTATGAACATTATAAAACAAGAGAATTTAATAACAATTTGAATGCATTAAATAGTCACTGAAAATACTCACGTCTTTTTTGCCAGTCCTCAAGCAAGTCATTTTTCTTGTTCATGCGTAACTCAAGGAATGACAGTAGATCTTTAATTAACTTATCAAGGCCTGGGTCAGTCAGTTCCAAGCAAGGAAATTGAGGTCCCAAACTATATTTGAAACAAAATGACAATAACTATAACATAACATCAACTTGAAATTATAGATCAACACTTAAATGAAACATTAAATCATTCCATTATAATTTATTTGTTAACTAATGAAGCAGAGTCCTTCTTGAGAAGTCAGTATCACGGAGCCACTCAAAAAATTTGCCACTATTTATGGATTATACATGTTCATTATTGTATCCACAAGAGCCTGGAGTTCCGTAACTCCAGCCATCGGCATTGTTCTCTTGTTTTGCAGAACACATATTTCTAACAATTTCCGTAGCCCAACTATGATCAGATGTTAATAATATCTTCAAAATTTTCACCTGTATTGGTCTTTATAACTATTACCTTACACCTCAAATTGAAATTAACTAATTTCCTCTAAAATGGATAATAAAATATTGAAATAATTAAAATCTATAACTTTTATTTCTTTCTCAAAGATCCTGCTCCATTAAGTTTAGTTGGCATAGATTAATATGTACTCTTGTGAACAGAATCTAAATTTCTTTGCAGTTTGGTACTGGGAAATGACATGCAATTATAGCAAAATTAGGACCTGACTATATTTATTATACCATGCATGAAAAGACTTTAAAAAAAATTAAGAACAAACTATGGTTTCATGAGGGATAAAACACACAAGAATTAAGATAAACCTTGAAAACTAATAATTTTAACTTGGTGTGTCAGTTATACTATAAAATATAGGTATAGAGAATTAATTAAATTCTAGAAGAATGAAGAAATTTTAAAAACTAAAACTACAGGATACATGTGATCTTAATGATACTGTGCAGTTTGTGTATGGTCACTAATTTTTTTTAAGTAACCTATAACCTCCATCTTCAGGATATGCCACTGGAGGCTACCCTAATTTTTACTTTTCCAACAACTGGTAATACCAGCAAGACAGATGGATTTACTTGTGAGGTGAGAGTCGCCCTAGTGGTACTTAACATAGGTTCATACAATGATGTGTGGTAATAGTAATTGTTTGTATAATGTCAAACAACATGGTGGCTGCATTCATAATACAAATTATTTACCTGACCAGAATTCAGTTCCATTACCACCTGTGCATGAGTCTCGTATACTATCACAGAGCTAACTTGGATTGGTGTTTTGCATATTACAATGGATTTACATTAAGTGCATAATTTGTAAAGTTCGACATTAAAGTTGTTTAAGATAAGAGATATATTTTATCATTGTTTAACAGGTTTCAGAGACATTTCAACATATACCATACAGTGCATTTATTTTGAAACTATGCTGTTATTTGTGGGGAGGGGGGTAGAGAATCAGAAAGAAAACAATGTTTAGAATGGAAGTTCATACATTTTAGTGATGACAGTGGAAAGTATGTAAATTTGACTGTAATTCAGTCAAGTTTTAATTGCGACAAAGATTATTAAGTTAGAGTTCATGACAAAATCATGTTGAAAAATACACTTATGTTCTTATATTGTCTGTGAACTACTGCATATGTGTGATACTTATGGTAACGCTTGAAGTATACATGTATGATGTGTTATATTTCTTTGTCAGCTAGGAGCATTCGGAATGCAGAGTTCAAAGCATACACGTGGAAATTTTCTGTATTCTGGAACAATTACTCCTTTTCATACAACAAATACAATTTCAAGATGTAGGAATAAATTATGTAAGGATGGAAAACAACCATATTCTGAAGAGACAAGTGATGGTGTGCAGGGTAAAAAGAATGCATAAGGGAAATATGTTTACTGCCAGCTGAAGCACATCTATTTGCGTAGGATTTGAGGTTTTCATGGCAGTGAGACTGAAGATGGCTGTCTTCTAGGTTGTTGCGCCATGTAGTCTGGTAGAAGTTTACCAACGTTTCAGAGGTCCTTGTGATCGCTCTGATGATGGAGGCAGCAAGGACGTCTGAAATGTCGGTAAACTTCTACCAGACTACATGGCGCAACAACCCAGACGACAGCCATCTTCACAGCTGTTTATGTAGTTATTAATTTTAAGGCAGACAAGTATCTACAATCAAGAAACAGAATGTTATACAATAGAGAAATGGGAAACAGATTAGTATGTCATAGGTAATACATAGTTTAACCAGTGTAACCAATTTACACAGCACATGACATAGATGCACAGCTAGAATGTTATAATAAATTCCAACAAAGCAGAACCTACCAATACACAAGGCCGATGTCTACTTCAATATTTTGAGCTCTGCCATTCGAATTTTCTTCCATCTTCTGCAAGGCCTGTTTGAAGATCTGTAATTCAGAAAATAAAACTTACTTGAATAATATTTGGTACAATTATGAAAATAAATTGTTGTATCCCGAGCTGGGACAGGTCGGCAGGGAGAGCGGATCCCTTGGGAGGCAGTTCAGGGTGATCGAAGTACTGCAAGCTGGAGGTTAACTTGAGAATTTATTACAAATAAATATGGTACAAGTTGGTTGTACTGCCTAAGCACGGGCAGTACCGACGTCTAATAAGAGTAAAGTTCCCTCCAGCGTGGAGACGACCTAGACTCAAGTTCAGAGAGTAAATAAGGGTGGTTGGTCATCTTGGTTTTATACAAGTTTGGTGACGCCGACTTTCGAGTAGTTTTCTAAATATGGTGACAAAATAATAGTTTTGCAAGCTTGCTTCATCTTGGTACTCTGCCACTGCATACAGGAACTTTGGCTTGTTTACAGTATGTCCCCTCACTAGTTGACAATGAGGGATGATTTGGAAATCAAGTGGAAACATCCTGCTTTCCCTTAGTGAAGATAACTTGAAGATATCCGTCTTCTGGGTTATTGCGCTGTGAGAACCTCAAGTCTTACATGAAGATAACTTGTTTGTAGCTTATGTTGAAATAGCATTGGGAGAGTACTGATTACAAAATAGTTACAATTGCAGCTTAGTTCCTAAAGATATGGGAGAATATACCCTGTTAATATGTATTTATATATTAATGTAGTCTCTATAATTAAGCCATATACAACAAAATGTCTATCAACTAGTAGTATTTCTTCATGGAAAGGTCTGTTGAGTTATTTGAAGCACAACTTACATTTATCAGCATATGATACTGAAAATTCATTATCATATGACACAGAGTAGGTCACTGACTCATTCTGATTAAGGAAACTTCGCATCTTCTTCTGGGAAATTCTACATCTCTGTAACTGATTGGTTTGTATTCTAAAATTCTCTTGAGTTAGCCTATTTGTTTCTGTCCATAGCACATTTTCCAGACACTTATTCATGTATTGTTTCTTCTAAATTAAAATTTTTCAAATAATTACAAATTGTATTGCCATATACATGGTCATAGAGGTACTTTGTCAGTCAGGAGAAGAGGTTTGCCCTTGGCAGTGCTAGCAGATGTTGAGGGAAAATGTGGACCTTGTCAAAAATATAAGGCTTTAACACTGCACAATTTCTCTGTCTGCTCTTGTCTACACTCTTTTTCATTGTTGCAACCGACACCCCAGAATATTATTTCCTATGCACGGCAAATAAGAAAAATCACACTCTCGTCCACTACTTCTGGTTTACACTTCTGAATCACATGATCTATCATCTCCCTAGCTTATCTATCAATGGTTTTACTCTTCTTTCAATTGTCACCAATTACTGAATAACTGGATACTTTCCATTCAACAGTAACCACTGGCAATGCCATGCATCATTTGATGTAATTACGGAAAGTGGTCGACTTGTTCTGTGAAAATGAAATGATGATGCCACATTGACATGACTGGTGAAAGCGATCAAAAGTTCTTGTTATGTTATATTGAAAATAATGGAATGATGCCATCATTACAACAACAAAATTCTTATATTTAACAATATTTTACTAAATTTGCATAAAAACATTCAATTGTTACAGGTTGGACACATTACATCACACTTTTACCAAACTAATTATTTTATATTATAAACTTACTTCATTGGCTTTTCTCCTGCCTGGCGTTAATCCAAAATCTAGTTTCAAGCCTGCAGGCTGTGTCATTTGAACTTCTTGCGTCATTTCAGCAAATTTCATTACATGCTGCAAGGAAACATACAAGAAGCGAATTTTCAGAATAAGTAATATTTTCAAAAATGTCCACATAAACCCCACATGTTTAAAAAATGCCTCAAAATGAATTCTAAACACATGAACATCTTCCTGAGTTCTATATAGCAGAATTGTTCTCTTGCACAGAAAGATACAAAACATACTGCATAGAGTGGTATCCCTGTTAACCCTGAGTTTTCCTCTGTCCTTCCAGGAACCTTGAGCAGCTCACATTAACTTTTTCACCATTCTAACTACTTCACTATAAACAATTAACCTGCAATTTCATATAATAAAATTCAAAGTTAAACAGATAATCCAACTAATCAAGTAACAAATCTCCACACTGTTAATCATGTTCCAGTTGCAAATGTTTCACCTTAGCGTGTGACATTTATTTAGAGCCATTTTATAGCAATTATGACAATGTAATTTTGTTCATTGCTCTGTCCAGTATTCCACGATCCAGGCAAGAACATGTTATAAACCAAGGGACGTTGAATGTATTGACTATGAACAGATTTGAAACCATAAGCAAAGTTAAAGAAGAATTAGGGAAATATAAGATTGCAATTGCAGTACTTCAAGAAATCATATGGAAAGGGAAAGGAACGATGAAATCGGAATATTTCACATTAGCTCATAGTGGCGCACATGATAACATCTTTGGTAGAGAGTTCATGGTGCATAAAAACTATAAACATCTGATTATGGACTTCAAGTCTGCAGATGACAGGATCAGTATATTAAGAATTAGAGGAAGATTTTTTTATATTACCTTGTTTAGCATACATGCCCTGACAGAGGAGAAATAGGATGAAGTTAAGGATGGATTGTATGAGACGTTAGAAGAGGTATATAACAGCACTGCAAGAAATGATATTGAAATTATATTAGGAGACCTAAATGCCAAAATAGTAAGAGGAATTTAGACCTTATATAAGGAAATAAAGTATGCATGAGGAAAATAATGGAAATGTCATAAGAGTAACAGACTTTGCAGTTTGTATGAATATGAAAATCACTAGTGCCTTCTTCCAAAGGATAAATGTATGCAAAGAGATGGATATCACCAGATGGAACCAGTAGGGATCAAATACATCATGTAATGATTGATAAATGACTTAGTTCAGAGAATTTGTAGCGTACTTTGTTCCAAGAACATTAACTACAATATTTTAGTAGTACAATCCAATGAAAGTGGCAAATCATTTTTACACAATACTTACGACTGTTTCATCATAATCTTCAATCCTAGGATTCACACACACAATCATTTTCACCTGCCCTTCACCATCAAAGAAGTTTTTGAATAGGTGGGTTATTTTCGAATCTCTGTAGGGTACCATTTTGTTTGCTCCATTCAACTGATTTTCTCTCAGAATTTCCAAACATGTTCGAAGAGTCATTAAGGAATTATTTATATTTCCTGCGAACAGAGTCAGACACACAATATACTGTATACTCCTGTATAAAGGTGGCGACTGACTTGTAACATTTACTCGTAATGTAACATTCGCGGCGAGCATGTTACATTACACCACAACTGGTGTGGCGTATCGAATGCTCGTTTTGAACGCTCGGCTCGACTGTGCTCATGTGTGCTCCATTCATTTCATTCAATATGTCGGACGTGGAGGTTGTGTTATCTTTGTTCCATTTAATACGCTACTGTTATCTAAAGAACTCGTGAATGCTCGTTACGACGCC